AGAGGAGAACATAGGCAGGAAACTCTCAGATGTTCCGCGGAGCAATATTTTCACCGATATGTCCCCTGGAGCAAGGGACATGAAAGAATAAACAAATGGGACTTCATCAAAATAAGAAGCTTCTGCATGTCTAAAGAAAACATCAGAAGATTGAAAAGGGAATCAACTGTATGGGAAAATATATTTGCCAATGATACCTCCGACAAAGGCTTCATATCCAAAATATATAAAGAACTCACGCAAGTCCACTCCAGGAAGACAAACAAACCAATTGAAAAATGGGCACAGGACCTGAACAGACACTTCTCCAACAGGGCCCAGAGACACATGAAAGGATGCTAAGCATCAGTAGCCATCAGAGAAATGCAAATTAAAAGCACAATGAGATACCACTGCAAACCGGTCAGAACAGGCATAATAAACAGATCAACAGAGAACAAGTGCTGGCAAGGTCATGGAGAAAAGAGAACCCTAGCACCCTGTTGCTGGGAATGCAGACTGGTGCAGCCGCTGTGGAAAACAGTTTGGAATTTCCTCAAAAAGCTAAAAATGGAACTGCCTTTTGACCCAGCAATCCCACTGCTCGGATTATACCCTAAGAATCCCAAAACACCAATTCAAAAGAACCTCTGCACCCCAATGTTCATAGCAGCGCTATTTACAATAACCAAGTGCTGGAAGCAGCCTAAGTGTCCATCAATAAGTGAGTGTATCAAAAAAGTGTGGTGACTGTACAGCATGGAACACTACGCAGCAGAAAGGAAGAGGTACTACCCTTCGTGACAGCATGGATGGAACTGGAGAGCATTATGCTACGTGAAATAAGCCAAGCGGTGAAAGACAAATACCATATGATCTCACCTATAAGTGGAACCTAGTCAACAAAACAAACAAGCTAGAAAAATATAACCAGCAACACTGAAAGGAAAAACCAACAGACAGTAATGAGAGGGGAGGCGGGAGGGGGCTAATGGGGGAAAAGAAGGGGAAGGGTCAAGTCAAGGAACATGTATAAAGGACCCATGGACAGATTCAAAGTGGGGAAGGACTGAGGGTGGGAGGTGGCAGTGGGTAGGGCTGTGGGAAGTGGTGATGGTAAAATGGAGATAAATGTATTTGGACAATTACAAAAAATCAATCTATCAGATACAGAGTTCAAGACATTGGTTATAAGGTCTTCTGGCCAAGATGGAGGCGTAGGTAGATATACTTTGCCTCTTCACACAACTAAGGACAACAACAAATTTAAAAACAAGAAATAACCAGAACTGTCAGAAAATCGAACTGTATGCAAGTCCACCAACCAAAGTGTTAAAGAAGAAAAATTCATCCAAACTGGTATGAGGGGCAGAGACAGTCAGCTGGGGTAGAGAGGATGCACAGCAAGTTGGCTGTAGAACAGCATGGGCAAGGCGGCGGCTGGCAGTTGGGGCAGTCCCACAGTTGTGTGCGGATAGTCCATGAAGAACAGGTGGGGAGCGAGACAGATCATGGAACCCAGGGTTCCAGTGCAGGAAAAGAAAGCCTCAAAACCTCTGGAGTTAAATCCCTCGGCGGGGGTTGTGGTGGCGGGAGAAATTCCCAGCCTCACAGGAAGAGTCCCTTGGAGAGACCCACAGGATCCCAGAATGTACACAAACCCTTTCATCTGGGAATCAGCACCAAGAGGGCCCAATTTGCTTGTGGGTAGCAGGGGAAGTGACTGAAAGGTGTCGGAGAGCCCAACAGGCAGCATTGTTCCCTCTGGGACCCCTCTTCCACACACAGCATCACAATGCAGCAACCTTGGTTGCCCCACCCTGGTGAATACCTAAGACTCTGCCCCTCCCAAAGTAACAGGCGCACTGCGACAAAGAAATATGGCCCAAATGAAAGAACAGATCAAAGCTCCAAAAATAGAACTAAGGAATAAACAGACAGCCAACCTATCATATGCACAGTTCAAAACTCTGGTAACCTGGATGCTCACTGAGTTGGTTGAGTATGGTCGCAAAATGGAGGAAAAAGTGAAGGCTACACAAAGTGAAATGAAGAAGAATATACAGGGAACCAACAATAAAGGGAAGGAAACCAGGACTCAAATCAACTATTGGGAGCAGAAGGAAGAGAAAAACATTCAGCTAAAACAGAATGAAGAAAAAAGAATTCAAAAAAGTGAGGAGAGGCTCAGAAACCTCTGGAACAACTTTAAATGTTCCAACATCCGAATCATAGGGGTCCCAGAAGGAGAAGAGGAAAAGCAAGGAATTGAAAGCTTATTTGAAAAAACAATGAAGGAGAACTTCCCCAATCTGGCCAAGGAAATAGACTTCCAGGAGATCCAGGAAGCTCAGAGAGTCCCAAAGAGGCTGGAGCCAAAGAAGCACACACCAAGGCACATCATGGTTACATGACCCAAGATTAAAGATAAGGAGAGACTCTTAAAAGCAGCAAGAGAAAAGGAGACAGTTACCTACAAAGGAGTGCCCATAAGATTATCAACTGATTTCTCAAAAGAAACATTGCAGGCAAGAATGGGTTGGAAATATATACTCAAAGTCATAGAAGGACAAGGACCTACATCCTAGTTTACTCTATCCAGCAAATCATTTAGCATGGAAGGGCAGATAAAGTGCTTTCCAGATAAGGTCAAGTTAAAGGAGTTCATCATTGCCAAGCCCATATATGGAATGTTAAAGGTATTTATCTAAGAAACAGAAGAAGATCAAACTATAAACAGTAAAATGACAACAAACTTACAACTATCAACTGAACCTAAAAAGAACAAAAACAAAAACAAACTAAGCAAACAACTAGAACAGGAACAGAATCACAGTTGTGAAGATCAGAGGGTAAGGGAAGGAGGAAGAATGGGGGAAAAGGTACAGGGAAGAAGCACAATGGTTAAGTACAAAATAGGCAGGGGGAGGTCAAGAATAGTATAGGAAATGAAATAGCCAAATAACTTACATGCTTGACCCATCAACATCAACAATGGTGTGGGGGACTGCCTGAGGGAGTAGGGGGTGCTGGGTAGATGGAGTCAAGGGGCGAAAACTGGGACAAATGGAATAGCATAAACAATAAAATGTAATTTAAAAAATGCCAACCTAAGAAAAAAATTATTTAATTTATTGAGGTTAGAAGTAATTTACACCAAACACATGCAATTATTTAGAGTCTGAATTTAGAAAAAACCCTATTTATAATTTGTTAATAGGAATTTTTATGGTTTATCGTTTGGGAAAGTAGTATAAAAGACTTTATCACATTTGATTCTTATATTCACCTTGTATGTTAACAAGGTATTTCTACCAGCATTTCATAGTTGAAATTGTGACAAATGTTAAAGTCCATGCCTTTGATGATATGACTGAGCAACAACAGAGGGAGAGAAACTTGTTTGGGCACTTACAGTTTGCGAGGCAGGATATTAGACACTTTACATGTTATTTTATTTCAATCTTACAACAATTTACTGAGGAAACTATTATTACTGTCATATTACAGATTAGTAAATTAAGACTCAGGAAGGTTAAGTAACTACTCCAAGTTACTTAATATAAGTATTTAACATAGTTGGTTCATGGGTGAGTTTGTAAATCCTAGGCTCTTCCCACGCCCTATACTGCCTGACTTCTAGATTTCTCCAGGCCACCTTTCTTGTTATGGAGAAAAGAGCAGTATGCAAGTCTTTGTAAACAGTGTCACTCAGAACTACAGAAAAGATTTTTAAAATTAAGAGTTAAGAAAACAGTATTTTCTAAGAAGTTGGTTTAAAGTCAAATTAGAAAATGTTGACTCTCACTTGGACTAAAAAGAAGAATCAGAATTTCTGGTTCAAAAGGAGTCATTATTCAATAAAGAAGAGAAATGGCCAAGTACTACAAGAAAAATATCAAGATAGATGATAGCTTCAGGCCATACACACAAATCAGTTCCAAATGGGTTTGAATTAAATGAAAAACAGTAACGATAACTCTCAACTAAAACCTATGCTACTATAAACTACAGGTGAATATATAACTAATTTCAGGGTGAGGAAAAACTTTCTGATCATGAGGAAAGATTAATAGGTTTCATTTCTGTTATTTAAGAAAAAGTCATGTATAACATGAAAAGACAAACTGGAAAAGTATTCTCAACTAACATGGCAGAAGATTAATACTTTTACCATGTCAAGTCAAGGGTGCTTAGAAATCAGTAAAAATAAATTAATTCACCAAAAGCAAATAAAAAGGAACACAAAAAGTTACAGTCATAGGCATTGAAAATGTTTAAATTCACTGATAATAAAAACATAAATTACAACTATGAAATACCGCTTTGCTACAACGAAAGAATATTTTCAGTTTTGGTGAGGGCCTAATAGGCACTCTTACACTGCTGTTGGGAGGGCATAATGATACTCTCCTCTGGGAGCAGTTTGGCAACACATATCCATAGTTTAAAATGTGTGTTATTTGTTCATCCAGCAATTATACTTCTAGGAGTCTAGACTAAGGTAATAATCAGCAATATGGCCAAAAATTTGTATTCAAAGTTGGTCAGTGTAGCATTATTTACAATAGTGGAAGACTAAAAAAACTTTAAATATATAGTAATATAGAAATGATTAAATTATGGAATATCTATAAAATAGAATTGTATATACCCATTCAAAATGTTTTAAAAGCACTGCATAACATTTGACAATTCTCATGATATACTAAGAGATGAAAAGAACAAGATATAAAACTACATATACAGTATGATCCCAATTTTACCAAAAAAAAGTAAAATATACAGCTGCATATAAAAGACTGGAAGGAAATTCATAAAAATTTTATCAGTGGCTGATTCTGGGTGGCAAGATGACAGGAATTGAAATTTTTTTTCTTTATACTTTTGTGTACTTTCAAAAGTATACATATACTTATATTAGCTTTATAAGCAGAGTAAGAACAGGAAATGATGTGTAAGAATTAGTGTAAGAGGGCTAATGTCAGATAGGATACAAATGACTGCTAGTTGTCACTTACAGAGGAGTGTTACCCTCAGTGTCTTGGATGTTTGTGGATGCTTTGTAGTACAGAAGGATATGAATCATCTTCAAGTTACCCTTGGCTGCTGCCCGGTGCATTGCTGTAGCCTCATAATGGTCCTTAGCATCTGGATTAGCCCCGCCTTCCAGTAACATAACAGCGATCTGGAAGGATGAAGAAGAAAACAATGCAGAGATCTATTTGTGTTTGCATACAGGTTTAGAATTCAAAAGTCGCCTAGGGATAAAACCCTACCTCATGCCTGTTTTTGGAAGCTGCATAATGTAGGGGAGTACAGCCATTTTGATTGACAGCATTCACTTGAGCACCTCTTCCCAGAAGGGCTTTTACAATCTCATCCCGGCCAGCAGAAGCAGCAATATGAAGGGGAGACCAACCGGCCTATAAAAGAGGTGGGCAGTACAAAAACCAGTGGGGAAAGGTGCAGGGATTAACGCTAACATTTTGGCAGGGTTTACAGAGAGCTGTGTGTGAATGGTTTAAAAAAAAAACATTCTTTTTCTCCTCATTAAGCATTGCAGAAAATTTGGAAAACAGATGTATACAAAAGAAAAACCACCCATAATCCCATAACACAGAGGCAATGATACTTAAATCTAATTCTAATGTTTTCAAATTGGAATCAGAGGATATAAAGTTCTGTGAGTTGCATTTTCCACAATTTCCACTTATCATTTTGTTGTGAGAATTTATCTATGTCATTCTTTAGAATCATAACTTTATTGGTTGCATATTATTTTATCACATGGATATACTCACTTCATCCAACTGTTCCTCCACTGCATTGTTTTCATTTCTTTGCTAAGTATTACTTCAGTGAGCATCCTTGAAAAAGAATCTTTGCCTAAAAACCATTTTCATCCTTATTCTTCACAATTCTTATCCTAATATAACCAAACCATTACAATAAACCTTTATATAACAAAGGAGATATCTCCTTATAATTTGGGCAATGTCTACCAAAAACAAATTTCCAACATAAAAAAAAACAGGTCTGTAGTCTGTTAGAGGCATTGTAATAAGCCTTGATCTGCATGTTTACCTTAAATTACAGGGCATTAGTGGCAAAACTAATATTTTATGAGACTGATGTGCTACCTACTGTGCTAACGAGGCACCTAAAACTAATATTTTAAAATAATGCAACCATTAGTCCTGTGCTTGGTCACCAGGGCCATGCTGTGATTTCCCAGTAATAAAGGTTACAATTTTGTTTGTAAGCTTAATATTCAGGTTTCATTAAACAACAGTCTGGAGTTCACAGACAAGTGGGAATTTATCAACTCTGCCTAGTACTCACATCATCTTTATCATTCACTGGCACCCCAAGTTGCAGCAAGAATTCAACAATCTCTGTATGTCCGGCCGAGCATGCCCAATGCAATGCAGTTCTGCTGTCCTGCATGGGAAACAGAGAAGCAACTAGATCAACATATTTTTAAGAGAAATAGAACAACTAAGGCAAGAAAGCAGAACAAATAAGACTAGGGCCAGTAAACCTGTAATTTGGAAACAAGAAGTGGGGAGCACTGGATCTTCAGGTAGGTGACCTTAAACCGTATTATTACTACTGTAAGAGAGAACAAGGTTTTACTAGCATGGGGATAATACATTGATGGATATAAGTAATTCTGGCAGAATACAGCCATGAAAGCAGTAGAGTAAGACACTGACTTGAATGTTTTGGCAGAAACAGAGCTTTGGCTGTTTACCATTGCATTATTTCTCTGCTTTTATGTCAGGCACTGTGGTAGTTTTACATATGTCTCATTTAATCCCCTGTACAGTAGATATTATACCCATTTTACAGATGAGTAAACTAAGACTCCTCAGGGTAAACAACTCGTCCAAGATCACACAGTTAGTAAAATGGTGAGGCTGGGACACAAATCCTTGTTTAGATTTTCTAGAAAGAACAAATGCATATTATGGTGAAGAAATGTTAATAAAACTAGTTCCAATTATCTGTATATCCATTTAAAAAACATACCACACACAGAATTAGAGAGCAATATTGCTTTTAAAAAAATAATAAGCTATATTTCTTAGCCCTATGTAAAATAAAATGGTATTTTAAACTTTATGACAAGAAATTTCAAACACATATAAAAATAGAGGGAATATAATAGAAACCCATATTCCATATTTGTTTCATCAAATTTTTTCCTTGCTGAGGTTTTTAAAAACAAACCCTATATATTATGACTTTTCATCCCTAAATATTTTAGTATTTAAAAAGTAGGAATACTTTCCTACATAGCTCTGAGACCATTATTATACCTATTCATTTTAACATTAACTCTAAAAAAATAAAAATAATAAAAAATTAACACTAACTCTTTTTTAACATCTAATACTCAGATTCCCCCAATTGTCTTTTCGCAGATGGTTTATTTCAGTCAGGACCCATACAAGGCCTAAAATTACATTTGCTTATGTTTCTTAAGTCTCTTGACCTTGAATAGCTTCCCTATTTTTATCCCATTGGCTTAAGAATGGTTGGAAGTAGTATTTGATCTTAATTTAATATCATTAAATTAAGTTAAAGTATTAAATATTCCCAGAACATAATGAAAATAAATTAGGCAAAGATAAAACCGTTTCAGGTTAAGCAATAAAGGAAAGTTCCGGGAAAAAAACGTCTCCTGACTTCTAATTCTCTTTCCAAAGACACAAAATGGAGATCTCGAATTATATGACACTGTATCACTACTGCTTAGCAAGGTGACTGTCAAATAGGAGGCAATATATAAATACTTGGTGGCTTACTAAGAGCACCGTGAATCTTCTTTGAAACTCAGGGTGAAAGCAAGAGGGTCCTTTGGACAAGAAGGCAGACAAAAACTCTTCCAAAGTCCACTGACGTTTGTTCTGCCTCTGCCTATAATGCCCTTTCATCCTCCAAGGAAATCCCACTTATCCTGCAAGGTCTAACCTCCTTTGCAAAGCCTTTTCAATGATAAAATTCGGCTTTTCTAAGGGAGATTAAAGCAGGTCATCCCATTACATGTTCTGAAAGCACCCCGTAAACATCTTTCCTGAATTTTTAACCACTATTTGTAATCGGACATATGATTTGGGGTTACTTTATGCATATTCGCTTTTTCCAGTCGACTGTCTCCCCAACTCATATCAAACTGTCTGGCACAGAAGAGGTATTCACTTACACGTGTTTCATTGAATAAAATCACTTGTATAAGTAAATACACACATTAAAAAAAAAAAAAAGCTTTTCTCCTCAGGGATAGCTCAAAGATGGGGCATTTCCGAGAAATGCAGTAATCGTTTTAGAAATACGCAAAATTCAGCGAGCTAAGTACTAGCTCCCCAGCCCGCCCACCCCCCCCAAAAAAATCTCAGGTTTGCGGGACTAGCTCTGGCCGTCCCTTTCTGGGTCCTGTGGGACAAGGCTGGGGCAACAGGGGCGGGGATCTAGCCCTCAGGGAACCAGCCTCCTCTTGGGCCGCGCCAGGCAGCCACGTTGGCCTACGTCACCGTTGCCGCCTGAGGAAAGGCCCCAACGTTGTTTTACCTGGTCAGTTCTAGTAGCCAGGGATTTATCGGCCAGGATCTCCTTTTTCAACTCCTCTAGCTTTCCGCTGTAGGCCAGATTGCAGACCATTAGGTTAGACACAAAACCCTCCATTTCGCTTTCCCAGGATTTCGGTACAGCAAAACGAACGACCTCTCACAGCCGGCTGCAACTGCCAATCAAAAGGACCGATAGGGCTCCCCCAATCACAAACCTCCCCCGTTCCTTTGCACCTTTCCCCATCACAGGGCGCGTCTGGGAGTTGCAGTTTGAGCTCAGTTCCGGGCGGCGCCTCTGTGGTTCTCACTGACTCTGCTCCTCGCAGCGCGGAACTACAAGTCCCAGGGTCACTCGCGGCCACCGTAGTCTAGTGGCCGGTGGAATTGGCCCAGGATGACAGCTGGAGAATGGAGTCAGGTACTGGGACCCGCTTCGTGTGGAACCGGGGTGGGTGGTCGCTGTGGTGCATTGAGTTGGCCACGTGAAACGGGTGCGGAATCATGGCTAGAGAGTTATGGGAGCCTAAAGGTCCTGTCCCACGGGGCTCCTAACCTGCAGGCGGAAGGGCCAACAGTAGGAGCTGGATACTATCTCCTGAGCTCTTACTGGTGGCTGTGGCAACCCTCCCTCTCCCTGCCGCCAGCACAGGAGTGGAAAGAAGTAGGAATTAACTATTCTGACATCTCGGCGGAAAGGCATCAGGACAGAATGGTGTCACAGCAATGACAGTGTTTGGCACCAGAGTAAGGTGATGTGCTAGGGTGATGCCAAAGGCAGAGTGTAATGCCAGCGCATGGTGAGTTCGTAGCCTGGTGACACAAGTTGATGAGGGTCATCTTGATACTGTGGTATGGTGTTAGCCCTTTAATATTGTGGTAATAACGATGACATCGAGGCTTTGCTAGAATTATTAAGCTCGTAATATTTCTGTTTATGGAAATCCGAAATAGTACCATAACAGAAGAGATGCAAGGCTTATCCTTTATAGGGCATATCCAGAAGGGCAGTATGCCAAAACTAGGTAATGATAAGAATACACTCAAGATAGAGTCTGTGTTATATTTATCTCATTGTGGTGTTGAACAGGGCTTGGCAAACGTTCTGCAAACATTTTAGGCTTTGCAGACCAAAAGGCAAAATCCTGCATAATTTGTAGGAGCTTATTTAACAAGAGAGAAACAAATTTCAACAAATGTTTATTGATTAATTTCAAAATATTACAACAACAACAACAACAGACTATTTTTTGTAATACAGGACTACTAGTGTGAATAATGAAATTCTTTTGTAGGGCTAACATTTTGTTTAATTGGGCTCGCAGTCAGTGTTCCCTATTATCAAAATTGTTCCAAATGTTTATCTGTTAATGCTGATTTGTAATGATCTTAACTACTTCATTTTGTAAATGTCTTTTCACATAGATAGGGGCTGCCACATACTGATATGAATCCTGTAAAGTGTTCTTGTTAATTTTAAAATAGATTTTTATTACAGAATAACTTCAGATTTGTAGAAAAGTTGCAAAGATAATGCAGAGTTCCTGTGTATGCCTCACCCAGTTTTCCCTACTGTTCTTATCATATTTTAACAGCTTTATTAAGATATATTTTACATATCATAAAATTTGTCCATTTCAAGTGTATAATTAAATGATTTTTAGTAACTTTACTGAGTAGTTCAGCCATCACCATAATCAGTTTTAGAACATTTTCACCCCCCACCCCCAATAAGGTCCCTCATGCTCATTTATAGTTAATCCTCATTCCCACTCCCAGCTGCAGGTAACCACTAATCTACTTTCTGCCTCTGTGAAATTGCCTATTCTGGACATTTCATCTAAATGAAATCATACAATATGTGGTCTTTTTTGTGTGGCTTCACTCAGTATAATATTTTTGATACTTCATTGCTTTTTATCACAAATAGTATTCCATTTTATGGATATAACAGATTTTGTCTGTCTTCTCACTCACTAGTTGGTAGGCATGCAGCTTGTTTCCAGTTTTTGGCTATTGTGAATAATGCTTGCATTCGTGTGTGAGTCTTCACGTGGACATATGTTTTCATTTCTCTTTGATATATGCCTAAGGCTGGAAATACTGAATCATGCAGCAAATTGATGTTTAACTTTTTAAGAAACTGCAAAAACTGTTTTCCAAAGAGGCATCACGATATTGCATTTTCATAAGCAATGTATGAGGGTGTCTGTTTCTCCAAATCTTCACCAACATTTCTTATCATCTCTTTTCATTATAGCCATTCTAATTATATATGAAATGATATCTCATTGTGGTTATAATTTATATTTCTTTAATGGCTAATGATAATGAGTATCTTTTTGTGTGCTTATTACCTATTTGTATATTCTCTTCAGTGCAGTATCCATTTATATATTTTTTCTATTTTTGAATTGAGTTGTCTTTATTGTCTTTTTATTGTTGAGCTGTATGAATAATTAAGTTCAAGGGTGAGGTACCCCTTGACTTTTTGAAAGCTACAAGACAAGTAGATCTCTAAGGGAGAAGGCCACTTCTCTTTTGTCTCTAGCCCCAAATGTGGGAGGAAGAGCAGGGCTGCCGTTTTATCTATCAAGAGTCAAAGGTGAGGGGGGCGCTGTTAGAGACTGACTCCTTTGTAGCTTATATGATTGAATGTTCTCTATTGCTTTTTCTACTGGTTACCTAGATTCCAGGTCGTAGAACAAGCCAAGTTCTTTTTTGCGACGTACAGAATAACTCCAAGAGTAACTAACATTTATAGATCACATCTATCAGATATTGGGCTATCTCATTTAATCCTTCACAACAACCCTGTCAGGTAGATGCTCTTATCCCCCAGTCCCCACCTTTTAAAAAATGAGTGTGCAGGTACAGAGAAGTGAAGGAACATGCGTAAGTTCACACAATTTAGTAGAAGTTGGAGCTACACTGAAAATGCAGGACTACCTTACCCCAAAGCCCTAGCATTTAATTACTAAAACAGAGTGCTCAATATTTCCAAAGATAAAATTATGTATAAATGCAAACCTCAGATAATGCAATACTAATTCTTGTCAGAGCTATTTGGGCTATAACTCTGCCTGTAATTTTGGGGAAATGACATGTTTTTCATGTTCTAAAAGAGTTTCGTCCAATAGAACATTTTGTGATGACGGAAAAGTTCTCTATCTATGCTGATCTACTACAGCAGCCACTAGCCACATTGTGCACTTGAAATGTATCTAGGAACTAAAATTTTAATTGTATTTAATTTTAATTATTTTAAATATAAATAGCTTTATGTGGCTGATGGTAATCATTTTGGACAGTGCAGAGATAGGCAATTTCCCATTTGCTCCTTCTAATTATTACTGAATATTTTACCCAGTGCAAATACTTTTCCATAGCACAATTGGAAATAAATATATTCTATAGTGAAACAAACTTCAGGATACCCCGCCAGGGTTACGCAGATCAACTAACTGTATGACAATAACAGGAATAGGTTCTGGGCTATCCAGAATGAAACTTCTCCATTCCCCCCAATTACTAAAGTTTAAACAACTGGCCCAAAGATCCTTCATGACTGATTTTTCACTGTGTGCAGATACGATTTGTTTATGTGGCATTTTACAAGCACTTTGCAATTGCCAGTTGCCTGGTTAAAATTTGACGTTTTAATCTTTGTCTCTAATACATATTTTCCTATTTAATTTAATTTAATTTAATTTAATTTTTCCCCATCACCTTTATCCTCTTTGTACCTTCTTCCTACCTCCACCCACTACCCTACCTTCCAGAAACACCACACCATTGTCCGTGTCCATAAATTGCCTTTTTTTTCTTTTTGCTCAATCCCTCCACACCCCCAGCACTATTCCCCCAAACGTGAGCTGTCAGCCTGCTCTCTCTCAGTCTGTATTTTGTTCATTAGATTCCACATATGAGTGAAATCATATGGTACTTACCCTTCTCTGACTGGCTTATTTCACTTAGCATAATGTTCTCCAGGTCCATCCATGCTGTGGAAAAGGGTAATTTTTTTAACTTTTTTTTGAGCTTAATTTTTTTTTATTGAAACTCAACCACCAACTTATACCATATACAGAAATACACTCAAGATGGATAAAAGACTTAAATATAAGTTGTGACACCATAAAAGCCCTAGAGATGAACATAGGCAGGAATTATTTTTTTCTTTTTAATAGTGTGGCTCTAATATTTTTAAGCACATGTTTTGGTGCTACAGATTAATGTCATTGATATTGTATATCACTGACCTATACAAACTTTCCCCATTTGAAAGTTATTCCTTCATGAAACTGGCATATTTTATAGGCTATTACAATAAAATATTGTATTTACTTCCTGGGCTTTAGCTTCCACGTTCTTGTTTCTGAGCTATTTGCTTTAGAAGTGGTTTCTTTTTAAACTTTTTATTATGAGTAATAAAAGATTCACAAGAAGTTGCAAAAATAGTACTATAAGGCTCCATATACTCTTTATCTGGTTTATCCCAATCATTACATTTCACATAGTTATAATATAATCTGAAAGCCAGGAAATTGACCCTGGAATTATGTGTGTGCACTTCTATGTTATTTTATCAGGTGTATAGATTTGTATAACTATCATCACAATCAAGATATAGAAATATTTCATCACTAGAAAGCTACCCCTTTATAGTTACACCCACCACTTACCCCCGCTATCTATAATTCCTGACAAACATGAATTTGTTCTCCTCTATAATTTTGTCATTTTGACAATTTTATATGAATGGAATAATAAAGTATGTGACTTTCTCCAGTCTTTTTCACTTAGCATGATGGCCTTGAGATTCATCCAAGTTGATATGTGTATCAGTAATCTGTTCTTTTTTTCTTACTGAGAAGTATTCCATGCTATGGATATATTGTACTGCAATTTGTTTAACCATTCACCTATTGAGGAACATTTCAGTTATTTCCAGTTTGGAGCTATTACAAATAAAACTGTTATGAACATTTGAATATAGGTGTTTTCTGTAGTTGCAAATTTTCATTTCTCTGAGGTAAATGCCCAAGAGGGTGATTGCTGGGTCACATGGTTAGTGTATATTAAATTTTGTAGAAACTGACAGACTTTTTCCAGAATGACTATACCATTTTACATTTCCATCAACAATGTATGGGAGCTCCAGTTTCTCTGCTTCCTGACCATCATTGTCATTGCTTTTCTTTTATTTTAGCCATTGTGATAGGTGCATAGTGAGAGCTTATTGTGATTTCATCTTCATTACTCTAAGGAATAATGATGGTCAACATCTTTTCATGTGTTTGTCTGCCATCCTTATCTCCTCTTTAGTGATATGTGTTCATGTCCTTTACCCATTTTCTAATTGCTTTGTTGTTTTTTAACTGTTGAGTTTTCACAGTTCTTTATATATTCTAAACACAA